TTTATAGTACTCTATGACTCAGAATATTCAGATTTTTTAACAGGGTGCTACTCAGCCTAACCGCACATTGTAATCTCTTGGGGTCCCCAGACCAAACCAATTAAATCAGAATCTCTGAATTAGGGGGATGGTAAAGCCCTGGCATTAAATTTTTTAAAGCCCCTGGATTACTCTAATGTCTAACCAGGACTTCTGAGAAACAGTATTTTTAATACTTCACCCAACTCTTCTGGATAAATAAGCATTTACTGGATTTCCTCTTGGTGGTAATAACTTTGTCCGTAATACCATTATTTTACACTTGCAAAGACACTAGGGCCTCTGGAAGATATCAAGGTTATTAACAGAAAAGACTTGGAAGCAACCGATAAAGGAAGAAAGAAATCAGGATAAGGCATTCCTTTTAAAAAACTATTAACTATTCCTCCATTTGTTCTGTTACAAAGAAAAAAAAAAAAGTTAAAAGAGTGCAGTTGGTGTTACTATTGCCATGAAAAAAATATCCTGCAGCACCCTACACAGTGTCAGAGAGCCACGACAGACTCTCCACGCCATACCCCAATATCAGAAATGAGTCCTGATAAGTCAAGGCAAGCTGGGGGCCAAAGATAGAAAAAATCTGGCATTATTTCTACAACTCACTGAAAAAAGCACAAACTCTAGTAACATACACCAGGTCTATCCTGGAAGTATCTTAATTTAACTGAGGAAAATACCTCCACTGAGTGTACTTCCAGGTTAAAAAATAGCAATGGTACTAACCAGCCAGCCAGTTACTTCAAGTAAATGGCCTAAAAAGGTAGGGAACCAGAAATCCCATATGAGTTGCTTTTAATCCACCACTCTCATAAAGGAAAGGGAAATAAGTAAAGCCTTACAATTCTGCTAAATGCAGTTGACTGGATTGCTGTCAAACAAAAATTTAAGAAAAAAGTCATTAGCGTTATGATAGGCTTATTCTCTGTCTACCAAATGGCACTTCTTTTTCAGATTTAAACTTTAAGTCTGTATGGCTAGTGTCTGTTTTTTATTTTCCCTAAAGTGTTTGATATTTAGTAAGTATGTTAAAAACCATTAGAACTAAGATTAGGAATGCACTCAGCACTCATGTAAGGAGTTCACAGAGATTTCACCTAAAAATTTGGGCTAAGCTTAAACCAGTTTCCAGAAGGTAAGTGCTCCTGTCTTTGAATTTCCAAACTCACCCCCAAGTTTTGAATACTGGAAAAGTCATGAACTCCCTCCCACCTCTTTCTATCTTTCTCTTTCTCTCTCCCACTCTTCCCCTCTCCTCTCTCTTTCTCTCCCTCCGTCCTTTTCATCTCTCCCTCTGCCTCTCACTTTCTCTTTAATTTAAAGGAGCATTTAATCTTTGAATAGATAGAATTACTAATGGAGTTGGCTTGCCCCTGTCTGGCTTGAGTAATCCTTAATGAGATGCCTGATTAATTACTAATTAGTAATACATATTTTTTTATCATCCCTTTTGACAGTCCTAAAGTTCTGCAAGGATAGAAAATTACTTTTCCGAGAACAGTCCAAGCTGAAAAAGAAAAAACACAAACACACACACAGATGATCTCTTAAGCTTCATTCTACGAAGACGATGCTGCATACTTGCTTTCTTTGTTAGAAATTACTGTTCTTTCTCGGAGAAAAAAGATTTCCTATAATAATAGTGTATGTACTTTATTTCTGATTGACTTTCCTTAACTTAATGCTAAAAGAAATTTTACATATTAGAGTAATTAAACATTTCCATTTCAATCAAGACATGGCCCTTCCTTCACAAATTTTTACCCATTTCCTACAATGTCATTATCATCATATTTCTAACATTACTTTATAATTTAAAATCATTTTAAATACATACCTTTGCCAATTTAGGTTTCTGGGAATATTTTGTTAAATTCAGCTTAGATAAATTTATAAATGGTCCATCAGAACTTGTAAGCATGGAAGCCTATGAGGGAAAATGATAGAAAAAGAAATCTAAAACTTTCTCTTGAAACATAAAATTGAGTTTAATGCGCATAAAAACTATAAAGGCAACATAAGTAAAAAGAATCACCTTCAAAAATCTTCCATATAATTCTCCATTATAACAATAGTGGAAAACGACGGAGCATAACATAAAGGTATTTGGTAATACAAGGAAAGCGAGCAGAATTTACCGTTCCCAGCCTGACAAATCATCCAGAGCAGCTGGTGACAGGGCGGGCTGTGTAGGCAGTTCTTGGTGATCTGATGGCATGTTCCATAGTGCCTGGCCTCCTGCTCTGTGTGCTGGGCCTAAGGAAACCTGTAATGGGTCTTCCAGCTTGAGTAATTGGCCTGTGAAGATTGCAAATTGTTGCAATACAAAGAAGATCAAGTAAGGAAAGACTCTCACACAGTCTGGTCCATATGAGTATTTAGTGGCAGAGGGATAAGACAGAAGTAAATACCTGACAGCTTGACTCGGCCCTCCTATCTGATTAGTTCCAGGGAGTTTCAAAGATGTTCCAGGGCCTATGAGATGACAAATTCAATTTATATATTATTTAATTATTATATATTATTTAAAATCTGTAAAAACCGTCAACTAATACAATTTTCAGAATTGTGCTGGCTTAGTGAAAAAGACATTAATAGAAGGAAATGGATTTCAGGGAAATGTGTTTGGGATTAATATTTAATGAGTACCTTTCATGTTATTTATGTTGTCACATTTAATGTTCACACTAAGTCTGTAAGGTAGATAGTTTTAGCCCCTTTAATAAAGGTTTACAGAATTAAGTAAACAGGTCAATCTATTAGTGCAGTTGGGATTCAAACTCAAGACTAGCAGGCTCCAAAGTTCAAAATGATGGTTCTATACTCATAGTTTAATTATTTTTCATACAAACTTCTTCCAGTAAAAGATCATTTACCCACAATATCTAAAATTTAGATATTTTAATTCTAAAAGAGCACAATAATAGAGAAGACATTTTAACATGAGACGTATTTTTTTTCTCAATTTCCCTTTGAAGCTATAAAACATACAAATGACTGAGACCTGTAACAACTAATAAATTAGCAGCAAAACCACCATATGTCATGGTAGCCATCTAGTACCATTTGCATCACCTCACCTACAATAGACACTAGGCCTCTGTAACAATCCCTGCAGACATTCACAGCCCAGCATCTTACCACAAAACCTCACATCATGCATTAGAGCAAATCATATTCCATTATAACATTTAAGTAATGTTTTCAAATGATCTTTTTTTTTTTTTTTTTTTTGTCTTTTTTCGTGTCCGGCAACGGATCGCAACCCTCAGTGTCGCGCCCGTACCGGACCGGGACCGGCAACGGAATCGCAACCCTTGGCGCCAGGCCTGCACCTCACTCAGCCAGTGAGCGGGAACCGATCTGTATGTGGGATCCGAACCCTCGGCGGGAGGCCTGCACCTCACTCAGCCAGTGAGTGGGAACCGATCTGTATGTGGGATCCGAACCCTCGGCGGGAGCGCCACTGCACTCCCAAGCGGCGCACTGTAGCAGTGCGCCACCGGGCCGGCCCCAAATGATCATTTTTTAAAAAAAATCCTTTTAGAACACTTCTGTCATTCGGATGCTTCCTGTGTTAGGATTGCCAGATAAATGATCTTCTGATAAATTAGACTAGCAATTCAAACAGAATGCATTTTTATAAAATATTTTTAAATGCATAATAGATTTT